ATCTTGTGAAAAGATTAATATATGATTTTAAGATTTTTAAAATTGTTAAAATCTGATTGGAGATATTCATAATTAATTTTTTTTAGTCTTCACACCTTCTAAAGCCAATTTTCTAACTACCCTTTAATAAAATTAATACAATTTGTAGTGGACATAACACTTCTATCCAAGACATTTGAAAAAACCTTAATCCGTCACAAATTGTGAATCTAGAAAAACAGAATCACTTCACCAATGAATCGATGTTAAAGATAAAAAAAAATCATAGCAAAACGATAAAGAGAAAAAGACAAAGATACAATAAAACATCAATTATTTTCTCAATACGATTCAAAGTTCTATTGAAATAAACACAAAAATACATTCCAACATCTTTTGTTGAGATGATACATATGTCAAGGTAAATCAAAATCATATTACAACTTCTCTAATCAATAATTTTTTTTTATAACTGTGTTTGATGCAAGAAAAAAAACAATAAATCATTTTTTAGGGAATCGTAGTGAATACTGATGAAGACATATACAAGTTAGAGACTTGTGCCAAAGATGTCTTCTATATGTTGTAGTTTTATGAAATGTCTATTTCTTTTTTCATATAACATTGTATATGTCCAATAATTTGCTACACGTGTTTAATCTTCTAATCTAGGTAATTATTTAATATAAACATCAAATTTATGTAATATTAAATATACAATTTGTCAATAAGCTAGAAATTATTGTATATTATACAATATTTATTTTTAAACCCACGTAACGCCTGAACAATCCCTAGTTAGTTAATATTTTACAAATGAAACATTGACCATAACAATGCCATGTGTAAGAAAAACAACAAGCTCTCTCGTTTATTTCCTTTCAAAACTGGTATTATGTTACCAAACAAATAAGTAAATGAAAAAGATAGAATCATTCTAAAATTCCAGAAACAATGTCACTGCAACAACTTAGAGTAGGTAATAATGGTGGATTCCCTGATTAAGAATTATGGGATTAGTTCATAGGTAAAGTAGATGACTTAATTGGACCTGATATCTGGAGTTGGTTTCTTAGAATTCTATTAAACAAATCAAATCTATATTGATCCTACAAGTATTGAACCAAATCGAAACTAGATTAAAAAAAGTATGTCAAGTTTCTATTCTCTAGTCTTCGAAAGTTCTTCCCAAGTCTTTGTTTCTTTAAAAGAAGGGTCACTGGAATATACATTCAGCACCCAAACTCTTAACTGTGTAGTTTTGAAGCAATGACTTTGCAAGTTAAATTCGAACTCTGTTTTACATAAATCATTGAATGTCTCGGGACCACTAGAGACAATACACATTCCATTGTTACTCTCCTCTCATTTTCTTCTAGGTCAAGACAGAGAGAAGACACAGAGGAACATGTCTGAAGATTATAAATGCATTCTCTTGAATTCACGAGAAACCCATCGATATCTTTTTTTGGACAAACTCTTACTTCAATACTCTCACGTCTTCTTCTTGTCCTCAAATGCCAAAATA